TTGAAAGACTTGAATATGTATTTAATTCCCAAGCCCCTGACAATGATGGCAATTTTTGTGAATGATTTTTTTGTTTTTTGTTTGTTTTTCCTCTCCATTCTGTATCTGGCTCCAAATTCTTTTGCTACCCAACCTGAATTTGTAGTTCTGTTTCTTACTTGTTTATTTTGGTTTTGATCTTGTCTAGGTTTATTTTTGTGACATTTAAAATATTCTGTTTCTCCCTCTAGGCCAGTATAAGGGACTCGATGTCTTTTTAAAATAATCCTCCCAAATGAATTTCAGAAGTGCTGTTCAGATTTTAGGATTTCATTTTAAAAAATCACTTTCTACATCTGTTTCCAGCACTGATTATCTTCATAATCCACTAGGGCAGAACAATTTGCAGTCATTCATATCCTGTAATTGGGTAATTGAATCATTAGCTCTCAGCAGTCCCCCTGAGGCAAGTGGAAACAGCCCTGGGCAGGCTGTGTGCTCTGGGGTCACAGAGCAAACCCTAAAAGCAGAGGTTGAAGGTACTGGGATGACTAAAAGCAGCTACCTTACTAAACAGGCTTGATGTTGGACTGAAGACAATCTTTCTAACTTTAGGTCTTTCGTGGGCTGTCGTAGCTGTCTTGGTTCTAAACCACCTGGCTCTGTCTACTCTTTCATTTGAAAATGATGAGATGCCTCCTTGTAGGCACCTTCATTTTCTTCTGCTTTAGATGCAGACATGTAAATGGCTGCAAGTAGCAGAACAACCCCCGACTCATATAAATAGCCCCCCTTTCCTTGGGGTCTGTGGGAGCTCAGTCCCCCAGGAAAGGTTGCAGCAATGTGGCCAAGGGTGAGATCGTTTTTTTCCAGAAACTGGTTAAGAACTTTGAAAACATTCATCAGGGCCTCAGGTGGAGCTTCAAAGCTTCTAACAAAAAATGAAAAGGTTTTGGAGTGCTAAGGTCCAAGAAGGAGAGAGAGAAAGAGAGAGAAGGAAGATATTTCTGAAAGTGACAATACACAATTACTTTTTAAGTGCTGCATATTTATACAACCAAGAGTTTATTTTTGTAAATGTAATGCCTGTGACCTGGAATACCAAGGTAGAGCTTCAGGCATTTAAAAAATCACATTTTCCTCCTAGGGAGATGCAAATAAACAGAACTCTCCTATCTCCTCTGTGTCTTTAGACATTTCTTTTCTCTCTTTACCCCTTCTCTATTCTTATTTATTGTAAAATCTTGGTGTGTGGGATATGATTATGTTTTCTACAGATGAAGGAAACGCAACAGGAGTCTGGTCTCGGAACCCTCCAAGCCCTCACTTAAGTCACTCTGTTCCCTTTCTATGTGGCTTTAACCTAAGTAGGAGTGTTTTTAAATGAAGGTATAATTTGTGGTGTTTAAAGTGATTTAAAAAACAGCAGTACAAAAAAATAATAAAATTTTACTTACCTTTCATTGTTATCAATTTATTAAAATAGTTTTATTTTCACATCAATGGTCTGTGTGTGCTGGATATAGGAAAATTTGCTTTCTTGGACATTTTCAACCTAGAAAGGCTGTTAATAAATATTCGTGCCAGGAAGATTCTGAAATTAGACATATCCATATTTGGCGATCCTAAAAGAAAAAAAAAACTTTCGAGCTTAGCCATTCTCACTTTCTCTGAGCACTCTGTACCAAGCAAGAATTAATGACCAAAAGCCTCCTTATATACCCTAAGCCTCTAGAAGCAGTTCTTAGGTTCTACGAACGAACTTTTCTCTTTGAGGCTTTTCTTGCTATTCAGGGAAATGGCCGCTGAGGAACGAGGGAGCCCGTCGCCTTTGTTAGCGCCTGGCTCAATTAATTAGCGGTGGCTAACTTGATGATGTGTAAGTGAAATAAAAACTTGAAACCATCGCACATCTGTAAACTTCCCAGGCAGGCAGGCAGGCTTCCTTCGGGTTCTGTGAGAGAAAGCAGCACAGACCCAAGGCCTGGGAGCTACTTTCGTTTTCTCTGACTCAGCTTGATTTCTTTCATGTCTTAGAGCCCTCTGCAGGGCAGCCAGCTCCGTCTTAATTAAGGAAAGAAGAAGGGAAAGCAATGTGACCGCGATTCTATCTCTGGGGGAGGGAAAGGGGTGCCGTAACCCCTGGTAATGGGGCCACCCCGTGTCCAATCTTGTAGTCTGGGGAAGGAGCACCAACCATTTCCCCGACTTTTTCCACAAAGGATTGTTTTCCGGGAGAATCGGCTTGTTTTCCCTCCCTCCCCC